TAACCACAAATGAACACAAATTTTATTAAGAATAAACAATGACACATGTTCTTCTTCACATATCATCTCTTGACTATTTAGATTTCACAGCTTCAACTTCTTCACAAACTCTTATCAGTTCATAGGGTTTCATGAGCAAATACTGTGAGACGCAGCTCTCTTCTCACTGCCAAACAAGTTGTATGTCTGCCATGCTTGAATGATCTATCTAAACTTATCAACTTGCCTTGAGTCAATTTTATAAACCCTTACAATACATTTGTAATAAACCATAATATATCAAAATGTGGTCTTAAGTATTATGAACATAATCATAATATGAAATTGCGAATATCATTCTTATTATTCTTATAAAAAAAATTTTTTTTGGCAAATTCTCACATACTTGGCAACACTGGGTAAACTGTATATAAAGATATGAGTATAAATATTCTCAATGTTATTTTTAAACATATTTTTGAACAAAATCAGAAAATTATATTTGGGCTACACATATAGAGAGAGAGATGGCTACTGGGGAATGAGGTAAGGGAATTGGGGAAGGTGGTGAAGTATCAGGAAGAATGTCAGGAGGGAAAGGATACGGAGAAGGACATTGTTATAACAGAAGGGATTCACGTAAGCATTCAGGTGGGAATAGAAAGGATAATGGGAAACAAAGAGGGAATGGTGCAGGAGAAGATGAGGATGAGATGTGATGGGAGACAGTGGGAGGAAGAAGGGTAGGGGAACTTGAAGAGGATGGACATCAGCAAAAAACTTTGAATGTATAGGGATTGAAAGGTGGATGAAGGAGCAGCGCATTCTCGTGAGTCATGTTTAGGAATTTTTGGATGTCTTTGAGTTTCTGGAGTGGAATTAGGTGGGGAAGTCTAAGAAACAAAGGTTCTCATGTAAGGAAGAGAAGAGGGGATAGATGTTCAAGGAGCCTAGGAAGGGAAGAGGGGATAGATGTTCGAGGAGCCTAGGAAGAGAAAAGGGGATAGATGTTCGAGGAGCCTAGGAAGAGGAGGGTATTGGAGAGGATGTGGCAGGCAAAGATGGAGTGGGATATTTAGGTTGTCTGGTGCGACAGATAAAGTGAAGCGAAGGGGTAGGCATTGGGGAAAAGGTAGAAATTGGGAGTGTCCGGATTTAGACTGGAAAAGGAATTTGACAGGGGGAAGAGGAGTAGTGGCCATGACCTGGTTAGGCACATAGAGGGCAGCAGGCTGTAGAGTGACAGTGTTTGGTTGGGTGGCCAAAACGCCAACATTTTTGACATTGACGAAGAACAGGTCAATACAGGGCAGGACACTACCAATATAAACTTCATGGCAATATTGGTGTATGACTTATGTTGGCCTATGGGAGGAATAGTGTAGCACTGTACTGCCACTGCATCACAGTGAACAAAGCAGGCAAGTAAGTTGTTTTCACATTCTGACCAGTTCTTGTAGATGCAACAATCAGTTGGGGAGACAGAAACAGTTCTTGTACTAGAATTAAGATATGAGTGAGATTTGGCAGGAATAGGTTTGCCAGTGAGGTCAGTCAGGGTAGATAATGCCTGAGCTTGGGACTCAGATGTCACTGTGACGAGGGTGTGAACGATCAGAACAGCTGCAAAATGAAACTTTGCCTACTTATTTATAGACATTGTTCAAGGAGAAGGGTATTGTCAGAGTAGGGGCAATAGGAGGAATCTCAAAAAATAAATTCCATTTGTCTGGACCAAAAAGAGTACTCAAAAGGTTTGCAGAGGTGGAAGCAGTGGAAGAACAAGGGTGGAAAGAGGATGAGGTGGTGTGGAGTGAGGTAGCACTATGGGGAGAACGACAATAGGGATAAAGAGTACACAGTTTGTACTTGTTCTGTATGCGACTCTTTGCAGTTTTCCTTGAACATTTCATGTATATGCATAATACATACATCCCATTACATGTACAATACCGGAAATTCATAACTGTTGTTGTCAAATGTAAAAGATTTGAGTAATGTCTTATTTGTGTGCTTTATTGATACTTCTGCAACTTGTTGCTTATAATGGATCAGCATGTATCAACTTCTCATTCAGTTACCCTATTCTTCCAAAGTTTATTTTGATTTCTTTCTGATGACTTTCTTAGAATATAAATTGAAAAAATATATATATAAATAAAAAAAAAAATAATAATAATAATAATAGTTATAACAATAATAGAATAAAATAAATGAATATAATAAATTAAAATCTCATTCAGTTACCCTAATCTTCCAAAGTTTATTTTGATTTCTTTCTGATGACTTTCTAAGAATATAAATTGAAAAAAATAAATCAACAAAAAAAAAAAAATAAATGAATAAATAAAAAATAATCAAATGAAATAAATGAAAATAACAAATTAATACATCTAAGTCTGATTTCAAACATTTTAAAAGACACAAATACTAAAATTTCATAATTTTCCAGACTTGTGAAGAAAATTCCATGATGTTCAAAGGCCTGGAAATTTTAAATTCAATTTCTATGATTTTCCATGATTTCAAGGACCTGTACAAACCATGAAAGTAGACAATGAAGAAGGCTGTGCAGTAGATGGAGTGGAAAATTTTGGGATTGAGAAAGGGGTGCATTCTGAAGGTTAAGTAATGACCTAGGTGGGTTAAAGGAGAGGCAGGAGTTAGAAACCAAGTGAAATCAAATTCGGATTGGCTAGTTGATGAAGGGACAAGCCTTAATTGTGAGGGTAAAAAATCTTCATTATTGGCCATGGTGATCCTGAAATAAATGGGAAGAAGAAACAGTCTATCCCTCAATCTCAAAAAGGGGTTAGAGCAAGACTAGGGTATTAGCCTTGGGAATACCTTGCCCAGGGTTCCCAGACGCCATTCATGACTGACACAAAGCCAACTTATTACCCTTTCAGCATGGCTCTCACACCTTAAGAAGTGATGAAGAAAAGAAAAAAAGGAGAGGGGGATAAGAAGACCATGCAAAATTAGGCCCAAGGTAGGGGTGATCCCCAAATTGGACCCCAGTCTCCTACACCTAAGGCTCCCCTATGACAACATTCCCCATGGCCTGTCCCAAGACTGTAGAGTATTTTTCTTGCACTGGGAATATTACATTTTTTCATGCACGGAAAACATTATTTTGTCTACCTTTGAGCAGACATATCTGCAGACGGATGATGAAACAATTGCATGGAAAGGTCAAAAGAATTATATGTGCGGAGGATGATTTTAAAAAAGAACTAAGCATGCGTGGAAAGTTACCCGAGAACTACACTTGCACAGACAGAATTTGACCAAATAATTTTTGTGCGGGGAACATAGAACAAACTCTACAGTCTGGGCCAGTGCCTAAAGACCATATCCAGTCATGGCAACTTAGATAGATAAATGGTTTTTATGAATATTACTACACTTGCCGATTAACCTAAAAAAAAGGAAAAGAAAAATAATATATAGATTAATAAACAATTTTAATTAATTAATTATCAATCAGTGACAAATGACCTACTGATATAGAACCCTTGACATATGCTGTTCATCCCTACATTAGGCCTTGACAACCTTGGTTATCGGTAAAGGTTACAGACAACGACGTGTGTAGATAGAGAGAAATGGACACGCCATCTTATAGAGCAGAAGAAATAGTGGGATAGAACATAGTTTAAGCTGCAGCAGCCTTGTAGTCACCACTAAATGACCAAAATATAACGTGCTTATGTGGGAGGGTGTGTTGCTCTCTGTAACAATTACCCAATTATTAACTTAATAATATGCATTAATCTCTTGCCATTTTCCATCAAAAGTATTGGCAATGTTTATGAAGCGATTTTACCCATTTGAAATTCCTTATTACTTCAGCCGTTCCTGAGAAATCCAAACCTATCACCTTATGAACCAAAAACCTTCCTAAACCAGGGGCTTCAGCCCCAGACCCAGATCTAATCTCTATTTCCCTATTTGGGCTCCATCCCTGGACCCAGCAACTGATCAACAAGGACTTGCCTTTCATGCAACATTTGTACAAGCTATATCCCTTATTTCGCATTTTATTTTACTTTGCCTTCGAGAGATTATTTCATGAATTTGTGCGTGCAATCTCTCTCTTTGATTATTAGCGCAAAATTACATTTACCTTTATTTGTATACCAACGTATTACATGTTGCACAATTTTCTTATCACAAACTTGCGAAGGTAATACCATAGCTGAAGTATCTTATTTTCGGTCATTCTGTCTATAACAGGCAAATCTTATCTCATACTAAATGGCTGTGGGATGCTGAAATTATACAGATTCAAACTGGTCTAGAACCTTTGTTTGTGAAGATTTGTGGTCACAGATCCCCAGGTGTTCAAGTGCCACCTGTCCACCCACACAAAAAGCTTTTTCAGATTCTATAGTAGTAAGGAGTGGCGAGGGACAGGCTTATAAACAGCAATCAAGACAAATTATATATCCTGAATGCACATAATCTTGAAAAAAAATGTGTAAGAGAGGCATCCTATCTGCCTTGCCGCGCTGGGCTGTGGCAGGATAACGAACAAGTCACTTCTAAGGTATAAAATCTTTTTCTGGCGCTTTAAGGAGGCAGTTCTTGGCATTACCGTTGCGAAGGTGAGTGTCATGGTTCCTCCCTGGCAAAAATCTCGCCTTGAAAAGGCTAGCAAACTACCGGACATATGGGTCCCAATCTGCAATTACTTCCTGCAGATCAACGGAAAATATACTGGTAACAAACTAAAGACAAATATATGTTTCTTTATACAAATACTGCTCTAACATTCTGAATTCAGATATGAGGCCAATCTGTCAATTTGGAAAAAAAAACTGACGATGCAAAACTCCCGAAAAGTTTCAAAGAAAAAAATAATAAATTCTTTCTCAGATTCAAAGGCTTAAGATAGGCTTTACTTATGGCAGAACACACCGAACATTTAACGCTTGTATTTACAAAAGTTCGTAATATTCTCAATGAGCTGTGTGCTTTCATACTTTCCAATTACTTTGACAAGAATCTTTACTTACATTTACTACGCGTCGATGGCTGAGCACAACTAGTCCGATACTAGTAAGTTGAGTATAAAGTACTAAAATAGATAATAGAAATATACTGACAGTTGATTGAGTTATTATCAGTAGCATCATCACATGCTTTTGGTGATATAATTTGTTTACTGAACTGACCATATTGTTACAATTTACAAATATTTATCGAAGATCCGTACCTAGGAAATACAATTTCGTTAAGGACTTCGGACATTTCACGGCAAACTTTCTGATTGGTCGTACTTTGAAAACCTGCGTCGCTATTGGTCAATTCATCTCGCGACATCTAGCGGGACTTTCAAATTGTCGTTTCAGTGAGCATGTCAACCTAAGCTTGTTTCTAGTCCTCGACTTTCTAACCAATATATAAATAGCTTAGTTTATCCAATACTTCGTTGCTTAACAATTCTAGTGTCTCTCCCAATGGTTTCGTAAGGTTCAAACAAAGGGAAGTGGGGACGTGGATCACCCCCTATGCTCTTCCGTGTACAGCGCACAACACTTGTGGCGTTATGTAGTCGCTTCTTGATAACATCGTCATTTTATGTTTTTTTAGTGGTCTTGGTCGTCCTTAACAGATCTGAGGTACATTCATTTATGTAGATTTTGAGTATTAAAGAAATACATTAACACATGATATGTTATTCAAGTCAAACCTTGTGTTTATCTATTTAATAACGCTAGGTGCAAAATCAATAGGCTTAGCAAAATGTCTCTAAGAATATTTTCGTATATACAGTCATATGTCTGTCTGAGTTTGCACAATTCATGTAGGCAGCAAAAGGGTCATGTGCTTTGGTGTGCATTTTAGCCTTTTCCTGCAATGTCTACGTTCCTTCTTCACGGAAACCCCCTACGGCATTTTCTCTCTCTCTCTCTCTCTCTCTCTCTCTCTCTCTCTCTCTCTCTCTCTCTCTCTCTCTCTCTCTCTCTCTCTCTCTCTCCTCTCTCTCTCTCTCTCTCTCTCTCACACACACACACACACACAGATATGACTTTCGATTGGATTTCAGCATCTAAATATTTCTCCCCAAAAGCTCTTCTGATAGACCCTCTGTATACTGCCACGAGCAGATATCTGGATCCCCACGTTTTCCTTGTCTTGAATACTGTTCTCGATCAGCCTTGCAATTTATGATAATGTAAAGCAACTTTCAATCTGCCCATGTGCAAGCTAAAAGGGTTCCAGAGCCCTTACAAAACAAGTCCGAGAGACAGGCTCCATTTAACAACCTATTTTACCATCAAGGCAAGCCAGCATTTGACTGTAATCTGTTGGTCGAAAAGCCATAAAATTCAGAGACGTTTGCCGTGGACCAAAAGTTCTGCACTTTTTAAAAACACTTACTTCGAGTTCACTGATTTCATCTAGATCCACTAATAATTGGTCTGATTAATAACAAACAAGGAAAATTACTCGTAAGATCTTATTGTTGCAAAAGATATTTTGGGTGAGTTGACCATTTCCAGTACACGTATAAACGAATCAATAGCCAATCAAAATGATGTAGTTGGTATACTATAATCACGATCAGTATCACAATTTATGAGATCCAGTCATCTTGGCTGTAACTATCTCTTGCTATTTCCTTTACTATTCAATCATCTTTTATGTATATTTCCTTGTGTTAATTGTTGTGGTAAATATTACACATTACGCCAGTTTCCAATCCACGTTTTTATTCCTCAATGTTTCTGTGTAACATCTACACAGAACAGTAAGCGCATTTCTTTCTAAATTGCCAGATCTCTCTATGATCAAAAGATTCTCCACATCGATAACTAATCTGTTCAAGACCACCTGTTTTTCCTCGTAATGATTCAAAGCAACACTTCACTCTCGGTGTAAATCATAGAAATGACATTCAAACTACACGCTATGAGTTGAAATCATTCTAAGAAAAAAAGAAAAAAAAAAAAAAAAAAAAAAAGCTTCATGTTTCAGTCTCGTTCCAACTGACTGGCCTTTGACGCGGGAAATACAAACAGTAACTTCCCGCGTCTTCCGCACTGGCAGCCATTTTTTCAGTTATATTGTGAAATGCCATAAATAAAGCCACATAAATAAATACACATACGAGTCTCTCTCTCTCTCTTTCTCTCTCTCTCTTCTCTCTCTCTCTCTCCTCTCTCTCTCTCTTTCATTCTCTCTCTCTCTCACTCCCTCCTCTCTCTCTCTCTCCCTCTCTTTCTCTCTCTCTTTCTCTTTCTCTCTCTCTTGTTCTCTCTCTCTCTCTACCCCTCTCTCTATCTCTATCCCTCTCTCTCTCTTTCTCTTTCTCTCTCTTTCTCCGTCAATCTCTCTCTCTCTCCTTCTCTCCCTCTCTGTCTCCCTCCCATCTCTCCTCTCTCTCTCTTCTTTCTCTCTCTCTTCTCTCCCCCCCCCCCCCCCTCTCTCTCTTCCTCTTTCTCTCTCTCTTTCTCTTTCTCTCTCTCTTGTTCTCTCTCTCTCTCTTCTTTCTCTCTCTCTCTTTCTTTATAGTGTAAACTGTGCACGATTCGCTCATCATGCCTGGTGTCACAGCAGCACTTCCATATTACCAGCTGTGAGATGTCCATTATTCTTGAATCTCTCAGTTGTCCAATCCTCAATCTCTCATACAACTTTTTTCTTTATTGTCGTTGCAAAGAGCTAATGATATTGCATAGTTTTGTCCTTCATAAGGAAATGCTAATTTGGCCAACTACTCAACCTTGTCACGTGATGGTTAAATGCATATGGTTTAATTGCATATGTCAAAGAAGATATGACAGTCACGGAATACCACTCATGGGGAATTCTGTACAAAACTGACTTCTATGCAATATCGCCCTTCACAAACCATATGAATGGTCTTTACATGTCACTTCTCATTGTTAAGTAGCGCTGTTTATTGATTAAATATTGATATCACTACTAAGGCAATGCAATGTTGATAATGAATTACTAATTGATATTACTTGATACTAGTATCTGATGACAATAACATTCATAAGATAAAACATCATTACTAATTACTGATGGCTTGTACGTTATATAATCTATACAGATGAAATAATGCGTATATAGTATTTATTTAACCAGTAATTTGTTCTGCAGTTTCCTCTGCTGTCCCGTCCATCCGCCTTGGCCGTACAGCAGGTCTCGTTCCAACTGATTGGCCTTTGACGCGGGAAATACAAACAGTAACTTCCCTCGTCTTCCGCACTGGCAGCCATTTTTTCAGTTATATTGTGAAATGCCATAAATAAAGCCACATAAATAAATACACATACGAGTCTCACTCCCTCTCTTTCTCTCTCTTTCTCTTTCTCTCTCTTTCTCCCTCCTTTCTCTCTCTTCTCTCTTCTTTCTCTCTCTCTGTCTCTCTCTCTCTCTATCTATCTATCTATCTATCTATCTCTCTCCCTCTCCCCCTTCTCTCTCTCTCTCACTCCCTCCTCTCTCTCTTCTCTCCCCCCCCCCCCCCCCTCTCTCTCTTCCTCTTTCTCTCTCTCTCTCACACACTCTCTCTCTCTCTCACTCCCTCCTCTCTCTATCTCTATCCCTCTCTCTCTCTTTCTCTTTCTCTCTCTTTCTCCCTCCTTTCTCTCTCTTCTCTCTCACTATCTCCCTCCTCTCCCTCTCTCTCTCCCTCCTTTCTCTTCTCTCTCTCCCTCCCTCTCTCTTCTCTCTTCTTTCTCTCTCTCTGTCTCCCTCCCATCTCTCCTCTCTCTCTCTCTCCCTCTCTCACTATCTCCCTCCTCTCCCTCTCTCTCTCTTTCTCCCTCCTTTCTCTCTCTTCTCTCTCACTATCTCCCTCCTCTCCCTCTCTCTCTCCCTCTCTCCTCCTCTCTTTCCCTCTCCCTCTCTATCTCCCTCCCTCCCTCCCAATTCTCTCTCCCCTCTCTCTCCTCTCTCTCTCTCTCCCCCTCTCTCTCTCCTCCCTCTCTCTCTCCCTCTCTCCTCCTCTCTTTCCCTCTCTCTTTCTCTCTCTTTCTCTTTCTCTCTCTCTTCCTCTTTCTCTCTCTCTTTCTCTTTCTCTCTCTTTCTCCCTCCTTTCTCTCTCTTCTCTCTCTCCCTCCCTCCTCCTCTTCCTCTCCTCTCTCTCTCTGTCTCCCTCCCATCTCTCCTCTCTCTCTCTCTCCCACACACACACACACACGCACACACAGTACGTGTGTTATAAACTTTATAGTGTAAACTTTGCACGATTCGCTCATCATGCCTGGTGTCACAGCAGCACTTCCATATTACCAGCTGTGAGATGTCCATTATTCTTGAATCTCTCAGTTGTCCAATCCTCAATCTCTAATACAACTTTTTTCTTTATTGTCGTTGCAAAGAGCTAATGATATTGCATAGTTTTGTCCTTCATAAGGAAATGCTAATTTGGCCAACTACTCAACCTTGTCACGTGATGGTTAAATGCATATGGTTTAATTGCATATGTCAAAGAAGATATGACAGTCACGGAATACCACTCATGGGGAATTCTGTACAAAACTGACTTCTATGCAATATCGCCCTTCACAAACCATATGAATGGTCTTTACATGTCACTTCTCATTGTTAAGTAGCGCTGTTTATTGATTAAATATTGATATCACTACTAAGGCAATGCAATGTTGATAATGAATTACTAATTGATATTACTTGATACTAGTAACTGATGACAATAACATTCATAAGATAAAACATCATTACTAATTACTGATGGCTTGTACGTTATATAATCTATACAGATGAAATAATGCGTATATAGTATTTATTTAACCAGTAATTTGTTCTGCAGTTTACTAGTAACTCAGTGGTATTATTTAAGGCCCAAGCACGGGGGGAAAGGTAATGGGGACGCGTGAAGAGCAGCCTGAGTTTATTCAATCAGAGNATATTCGAGTAACGATGTAACTACATATGCATAGATTTTCTCCAATGTGTATGTAGAGTGTAGTAAAGAACATTAACAAGGAAGAGCAAGAGCAGGAGTGGGAAAGAAGAGAAAAAAAAGGAAAGGGGAGAAAGAAGAGAGAGGAAGGGGGGGGGGCGATGGCAAGGGGCA